TTTGCACCCCCCCTGTATAAAGGGAAAATGTCCGATTTAAAAAAAAAGGACGTCGAATGAAAGAAGTTTATATAAAGTATTTATTGTTGAAAAATAGAATTGATTCATGCATTTTTTAAAAAGTTATAGCATCATAATGTTAAAAAATGTAAAATTTAATATCAAGAATTTTTTCAAAAAAACAGCATATTTTTGCATACGGTAGTCATTTTCACCATGAAGACAAGTCCAGAGGTCAAATTTTTTTTTTTCAAATTAAAGTATATTACATTAGCTTTAATTTAAGGTATATATAAAATTGTCAGTCTTTCCGGAACATTTTCAAAAGTTAAGTTGAAAAAGTTAATTTTTTGTAAAAAAGTTACCATTTTGAAACCCCATCCTTTGGGCTGTTAAAGGGTCAAATGTTCACAAAAATATATAAAATGATAGGTAATTATCTAAGGTATCTATAAAAAAAAAAATTATATTGATTCGGTCATTTTTAAAAAAGTTATGGCAATTTTAAGTAAAAAAAAATGAAAAAATATCGAAAATTAGCGATTTTTAAATTTGTAATTTTTTGGGGGATTTCCCCCGTTTACGAGGAACGAGGGATTTTTTTTCAATTTTTGAGGGTAATGTCTTCAACTAGATACGATTTGTGATCTTTTGACATATTTTTCATCAAAATTGGTTCAGTGAGAGCTGAGATTGAGAGTATACAGACACAAAAAAAAAAAAAAACACATCATAGTAAAATTAATACCTTCTCAGCTTCGTATTGAAGCTAATACAATAGTCATATTATATCTATATAATATGTTATAATTTGTTATCACAATATACCGTCTATTATGAATATAGCTACCGTTTCGAACGTCTGATGTCGTTCGCTCCCGCCAATTATGAACTAAGATAGTACTATCAACGCTAAAACAGCTGCAAACTCTAGCAGCGACATTATCACATAGATAATAATATATTGGCACGATTAAAGATATAATACCTATTTTACCTTTAATTGCGTATATTAGTAAGTTCGTCATCAATGTAATGATAATAATATAATTGTAAATTATCATTATAATTTATCAAATGATGAAACATCTTATTTTTGTATAAAAATAACATTTTTAAAATAATAGGCACCAGAAATTTTGGTATGGGCAGTTGCCCACCCTGCCCATACGCTAGAACCGCCACTGATAGCTACTCAACTTTTATATGTTTGTTTATGATGGTTTATTAAGACATCTGTACTTCATTTTTTTCCAGTAAATTTGTCANAATATATGATTGTTACAATTATCTGCATAGAAGATATTATTGCTAATAGCACTATTGGTGAATTAATGCAAATCAATCATACAGTAACTGCTAGTAGTAAAGAAGTTGCTCATAGAGTATGGATAAACTTTTATGAACTAGAATAGGAAAAGTTATCCCCTCATGAAGAAGTACCCGACGACTGGTATCACTAGACACTTATTGGGATTATGCACTTTATTTTTATTTATGCACATTATAGAGTTTTAAATTGGAAATTCAGAGAACCGGAAGGTCAATAGAACGCAATTACCTTTAGTTGAGGCATTAGTTTTAACTTTCCATAAATCACAGGTGCAACAACATGAAAATGTTCGTTTTAATATATGCAACATTAAAATATACTTAAATATTCTAAAAAATATTTGCTATGTAATATTCTTTATATAGGATGCAGTAGAACAACATCATCCAAGGTATTATTATAGACTATTTTCCATTTAATCTACCTAAACCATTTGCAAAAGTCAATGCTGACATAGCTAGACTATGCTTTGAAATTAAATCTAAATTTTCATTTTTGACATGAGACATTTGAGTACATATGTTAATAATTATAGCATGTACTCCGTAGCGATATATACGTGTTCTATTGTTCTCTGTTATTTTCTTTTTTTCTAACCTTAATAATTGTGCTATTATCTCAAAATTAATACCCGTTTTGTTACACTGATGCTTTATCTACCGTCTTTTGGAATTTGCTGATTGTTCCAAATCTTTCACTGACTACAATTTGGTAATCTTAATATACTTATTACTAACATCAAATCATAATAACTATCAATTATCTCTCGGAACTCCACGGTCTTTCTGGCGGTTGTTCCTATCTTATCTCATTCAATGTCTATGCCCATAAAACCGCTATCGGTTAATTCACAAATTAAATCAAAACAAACAACCAAAAATAAAATAATTCAAATATTAACACTGCGAATTGCATACAGAGCGTTTCTAATTTATCAAACACTTCTAACGATGTTTTTTCGGATGATGAAACTCTTTCGGGTTTTCAAACAGTGAAAAATAACTATAAACGCAACCTTTCGTCATTCAGTTCTACTGAAAAATCCGAAATAAAGAAATCCAAACCCATCTTTGTAAGCACCAACAGGTTCAACTTGCTACATTTTCATGATATAGAAAAATCTATTGAACGAATGATACATCAAATTTGACGCGTNCTATTGAACGAATGATACATCAAATTTGACGCGTATCCAAAGTACGGTTGAGCGCGCACCACAAGTAAAAGATATACCGGGCGATAAGTTAAATAACAATATATATATATATATATAAATATACACCACAAGTCGTAGCGATAATACAGGGTATCTATAGGTATAACAATACGCCTGTCTATATTTAATTATTCAAATTACACTGTTATACACGTTATGTTTCTATATGTTCCTTGTCGGTTCGACACAAGTTAATCGTAATAAGTATCACTAATATAATCACAATTAGAAAGGAATCAAACACTGCAACCAGTATGGTTTACGTCGGAAACGCACAGAAAACCACACACCAGATGAGGTGTACGTCGAAAACGGAACAGAACGCAATATCGGTAATCCATATTCGGTGGCAGCCTTATCTCAGTGTCAAGGGCGGGGTGACGACCGATGACAACCGATTGTCATATTAATAGCTGGACGGCTGATATCGAGAGAGACACGGGTGAGCGCCAGCCTAGAGCAAAAGGCGGTGCCGTGTCAAATTTAAATCCTAATAATAAATTCAAATAAAACATACCCCGCCACTTCCTCCAATATTCATTCATCATGTTGCTGATTTGATTGAATTGCGAAATCAATTAATAAAACTGATCGATTCTCAAAACTTTAGATTTAAATCATCTGCTAATAACCTAAAAATTAACACTACTAACTCTGACTTGTACAGAAAAGTCATTAACTATTTAAAAACAAGTGATGCAGAATATCACACATATCAAGCCCGTGAACAAAAAGCCTTTCGTATCGTTATACGTAACTTGCATCCCTCTACACCAACTACTGAAGTTGGCGCTGCCATCAAAGAGATCGGCTACTCTGTCCGCCAAGTTACAAATATTACTCATAAAAATACCAAATATTCCAACCCTTCCAATATTTTTTGTGGATATTGAACCCACCCAAATCAACAATGAATTATTCAAATTAACTTAGCTGCTCCATACCAAAATAAAGATAGAAGAGCCTCACAAACGTCGTGAAATTATTCAATGTTCCAATTGTCAAGAATACGGTCATTCAAAAGGATATTGTGCTCATCCTCCTAGATGTGTTCGTTGCGCAGACTTCCATACCACTTCACAGTGTACTAAATCAAAAGATACCCCTCTTACTTGTGTTCTTTGTAAAGGAAACCACACAGAAAACTACCGTGGTTGCTCAGTACACAAAAACTTACAATGGTTAAATCTTAAATCTAACAAACCCCTTAAAAATATTAACATTATTGTAAAAAATCAGGAGTTGCAATCCAGTGATGGGACTTATTTCACCACACCCAACATCTCAGACAATAAAATCTTTCCTAATCTTACTCAAAATACCCAAATCCTTAGTTTTTCAAGTAAAATCGATTCTCAAACAAAATCACCAGAAAATTCATCTAACAACCAATTATTCTCTTTCTTAGTAGAGTTCAAACAACTCACATAATCCTTAATTCAATTACTTACTACTGTAATCAACAAATTAATTCCAAAATAATGACAAATAATCAAACTAATAATAAGTCTCTTAATATCATTTTTAGAATGCTAACGGTCTTAAACAAAAAGAATCCGAATTTTTAAACTTTCTTATAGATAATTAAATTGATATAGCTCTAATCTCTGAAACACACTACACAGATTACTCCAAACATTTTTTTCCTGGTTACAATATTTACAAAACACACCACCCAGATGGTACGGTACATGCGGGTTTTGTAATTCTTATCTCATCCTTAATACAACACCACCTTCTACCAAGTGTACTATTACACACTGTCACAGCAACAAATATCTCAATTTCAATAAATCATACTCCTATAATTATTTCAGCAATATACTGTCCTGCTCGACCAAACATATATCAGCCCCACTCGAGCAGCTTATTTTTTCATTAGGACGCAAGTTCATCGCTGGGGAAAATTTTAATGCCAAGCACCCATTTTGGGGTATTTGCGTTGAAAACCCTAGAGGGAGGCTATTTTACAATTCTATTCTTTCTTAAGGTTTTTCAACTATTTCACCTCCTGGTCCTACTTACTGGCCAACTCATAGGAATAGACTACCTGACTTACTTGATTTTTTTATATCATCAATACTGGATCATATAAATCACTCTATTCATAATATATATGATCTGTCATCTGATCATTCACCCGTTTTGCTAAAGATTGAAGAACTTCGAACAAAATCTCCTTCACAACCATCCCTTTCTAAAGGTCCTGTAAATTGGATTCAATTTTCCTAAGCCTTAGAAAATAGTACAAACTTAAAAATCCCTCTAAAGTCTTGCGACGAAATTGACTCCGCAGCCCAAAAATTAGTCAGCTCAATTCAATCAGCTTTATTTGAGTGTTCTTATGCTTCCACTCAAAATTAAAATCTTTTCTTTTACCTTCCAATATAAAAATACTAATTACTGAAAAACCCACCCGTTGGCAAAGAACTAGACTTCCCTCAGACAAGTCTACTTTCAATAATCTATCTAACTTCTTAAAAAAATTAATTAAAAAATTTAACAACAACCTCTTTGACACAAAATTCAAATCCCTCAACTCTCAGGACGGTTCATTATAGAAAACCACTAAAAATATGCTTAAACTGAAAGATTTTTCATGACCTATTAAAAAAATAAATGGATCGCTTGCCTTATCTGATCTTGACAAATCCAATCTTTTTGGAGAACACTTTTCGAATATTTTCATACCTCACTATTATTCCTAGCAATTCTCAATTTATCAAAATAAATAATTCTTTAGATTATTCACTACCTATGTCTCTCCCTACTAAATATGTCTCTCCAAATGAAATTATAAATGTGATTCATAAATTAAAGTCCAATAAATCACCTGGGCATGACTTGATATCAAAG